CGATGCTGAGAGCTTGGACTTTGGTGGCAGCGAGAGCGACCCGGACGAGGATCAAGAAATGGATTCCGACTTCGAGGGCGATGACGATGATGCGGAAGACGACGAAGACGCCGACACCCCCATGAAGCGCTAGACGTTGCCCATGGACTGCCACTCTGAGCCCCTCATCATGCGAATGTCTCACATCCGCATGCCAGGGCTACTTAGGGGTGGGTCCCCAGCGTCTGAAGAGGATTCGGGTTCTGACACCCTCATCCTTGTCCCTTCACCGGCAGTATCACCTACCTCAACACTCCTCTCTTCGTCATCATGCGATTCGGCAGCCCCTACTCCATTTCCCCCTCACCCCCGTCCAACAATATGGTGGACACTCGCGCACTAGGAACTGCGCATCGCCCTCTCACCCCCTTGCCCAACTTTCCATTCCTCGGTTTTCTTCCACGTCTTCATCATAAGCGCGGCGTTCGGTTTCGGCATGGTATTCATGGCGTCACGCCTGCAACGGGCTTTCACGCCTAGGGTTCGGTCACGGTTAGGATGGCATCTACACTGCATAGGAACGGAGTTCTTGAATCATCTTTTCATCATGCGTGGCATGGCTACTTTGGGCTTGCAATTGGCGGCGCAGTGGCTGCATGTGAATGCCCGTAGACTAGGGAATGCATGAATTATATACACATGATTTTCTCCAAAAGCCTTGAGTGATGTCTTTGAGGGAGTGCGTTCCCAGATATATTCGTCAGGGTCATTTCTTTCCAGTCTTCTGCCGGAAGACAAGATAAACATTAATCAACCCCTAATTCCGCTTTACATATGTCGCGAAATTCTGTTTCTCGCCACTGACCTCCTCCGCTACTCTTGCCAACCCCTTGGGACTGATGTCAATTCCGGATCTGTTTATATGATCCATGAAGCTATGCGGATTGACACCCTTGCAATCGCTTCCTGCACACACGGCGTCGTTTCTAGAAGACGTTCTTCTGCAAATTTCGCAATCCCATGTTTCATCGTTATCGCTTGATCCGATAGTCCAGCCTTTTGCGTGAAGGACTTCTGTGAGGTGTTTGTCTGGCGTTTCGGCACTCTTTATCCAGAGTTTGAGAAGATCGACGTTGTTGATGGTGGTCTTCACGTTGGATGGTTTGAGTTCGGGTCTAGCATTCGATGGGGATGACTTCTCTTCTGCCATCTTCACGTCGCGTTTGAGGATGTGATTGCGTAGCCCCCGGAAGCAGAGTCAGTATAGGCGGACCGCCCTTTGGAAGGACAGATGTAAATACCGGGAAGCGATCGCGTGTTTGGTGTCTGAGGTGGATCTTGGAGATGATGGTATCTGCAGAGTGCAGTGAGAACTCAGAGGTGTGTAGAATTGAAGAAGAAGTCGTTGTTGGACATATATACTAGCGATGACTCGAAGATGTATTGGTCCGTGGGATGTTGTACAGTGACCATTATGACATGCTCAGGCTTCTGGAAGACGGTGCGTGGGTTGTGTCACACTCTGAAGACATCGTAGCATACACTGGACTCTCCAGTCTGACAATTATTTCATGGACTGAATACTCCATGGCTCACCACCCAATGCCCATAGCGTTTCTGACTCTCTCCATAGTACTCTCGGCGATTTCCTCTGCTCTTTGCGCTCCTTCCTCTGCATGTCCTATAAGCTCCTTCTGATCTCCACTCATCAATTCCTGATAACATTCTCTTATATCGCTGATGCCCGAATCCACGGTATCAGCGACCCTCTCTTTCAAAGCCCGCATGCTTAGGGTCGTCAAGTCATTCGCCAGATCTTCCGGTGACGCAGCAAGCGACTCATCAAAATGATACATTAGGTCTACAAGGTTTGACACACCCGGTCTGGTTTCGCGGTCATAACTCACTCCCTCGATGGAGTCTGTCAATGCCGTCTTCAATTTGGCATGTATTTCCTCTCTTGAGTCTGTTATCAGGATACGACTCTTTGGTTTCGGGTCGCTCTTGCTCATCTTTTTTGTTGGCTCAGTCAGACTCATGACTCGTTTTGCAGGACTCAGAAGTGTTTGTGGAACAGTCAACAGGGGCTGTGACTCCGAGTAGACGTGGTTAAAGCCACTGGCCAGCTCGCGCGTGAACTCGAGATGCTGCGCTTGGTCTTCACCGACTGGGACGTGGGTCGTGTTGTAGAGGAGGATATCGGCGGCTTGTAGGACCGGGTACGAAAAGAGGCCGAGTTTGAGGGCATCCTTGTTGTTGGAGGGGTCGAGAGGAGATGCATTGGATGGGAGGGAGAGCTTGCTCTAAGACAAGGTTAACATCGTGCCTTCCTAGGTCTACTTCAGCGGTTGTATACCTTCCACTGGGTCATTCGTCCCAAATAGCCCATGCTTGCACCACAACACAGGATCCACATCAACTCTGCATGCTGCTTCACGCTACTTTGCGCAAAGATGATGCATCTCTTTGGATCAAGTCCTACTGCCAGCAGACTAGCCAGCATCTCTTTCCGCCATCTTGCCAATTCGCTTGGATCTTGTTTTATCGTAATCGCGTGCAAATCAACTATTGAGAAGAGAAGCGTTGTATCCGGAGATGCCTCGTCTTGCAGTTTGACCCATTGCCGCAGTGCGCCGAGATAGTTTCCAAGATGCGGTACGCCGGTGGGCTGGATCCCCGAGAATATCACCTGCTTCTGGTTCTTACCGGCATTCTGTCTCGCTGGCGAGGCGATGGAGTACTTGCGCAGGCAGCCTGAGCATACACGAAAAGGTGAGGGCGCTGCACGCTGCAGCGGTCGAAGTGAAAACATTGAAGTCAGGTCGTTGTATCAAAATCGGAATCGCGGTTGCTCAGCCACCAGAAAGCGGCCGGGGTCTTGTAGCGTCGTCATTGTGGCACTGCCGCCCGCCAACAACCACTCGACTGCGCCCAACCACGGCCTCCTTCTCCATTCACGCTACTCTCCCCACAACACCACGACTGCCACCCACGATCCCAAGCCTCACACACCTTACCACACACATCATCGCCTGGAACTAGAGGGACTACAGCGCAATCATGTCCTGGACCGGTAAGGAGCCCCTCGGCGACGATCCAGGAAGCCGCCGGCTCACCAGACGCAGGGTTCAAGAAAGGCGTCAATCGCGCGACGACGCAGGTTCTTATGAAGACTGGCCAAGTCGAGCGCACAAATGACCGCGACTTCGAGACTGAGCAGCGGTACGCTCTCCCGCATACCAGACACCTTCTTCATACAAGAATAAGGCATCCCACCGTCGTACAACAGCTAACATGAGGCCAGTCGGTACCGTACTATGGAGACCGCCGCGAACAAGCTACAAAAGGAAGCAAAGGGCTACCTCGACTCTCTGCGCGCCATGACCGCCTCACAAATGCGCATCGCCGAAACCATCGACGCCTTCTACGGCGACGCAGGCACCAAAGACGGCGTATCGCGCTCCTACAAGCAAGCCGTTACCGACCTAGACGCCGAGACGATAAAAGCCCTCGACGGCCCCTACCGAACAACCGTCCTAGACCCCATCCAGCGATTCTGCTCTTACTTCCCCGACATCAACGCCTGCATCACAAAGCGCGAACACAAGCAAATGGACTACGATCGCATGCGCGCGCAGGTCCGGAAGCTCACCGACAAGCCTGACAAGGATGTCACCAAGCTACCCCGTGCTGAAAAGGACGAACAACTCGCCAAGGCCGCGTACGATCAACTCAACGACACCCTCACAACTGAGCTGCCCCAACTCATCGACCTGCGAGTACCATACCTAGACCCCAGTTTCGAGGCGCTGGTCAAGATCCAGTTGAGGTTTTGTGCGGAAGCGTACTCAAGAATGGCGCAAGTGCAGCAGTATCTGGATGCGAACACAAGAGATCAGTATGCACAGGGCGAGCTGGATGCGCGGGTGGAGGAGGTGCTGCAAGAGATTCGGGACTTGAGTATTGCGGGTACTGTCTAAGAGCTGGGAAAGGAAGATCTATTCTTAGTGTATGGTACATGATAATTTCTGTGGCGTCAGAATCGTTGGGTTTGCGGCATTGGATGGACTGCGTAAGGACAGACGAGGGAGTTCAGCGGTGCCTCCACCTCCCTGTAACCATCGACTTTATAAGGCGCTCGATTTCATGATGATTAGTTTATTTCCACTGCGTCATGCCGTACTGACATGCAAACAGAGCAGAGTCTCCAGACTTCCTCTTCGTGACAGGAAACGCCAAGAGGTCACGGTGGAATGGTTTTGTTCAACGTAACTTTACTGACTCAGAGTCATTGAGTCCTCGTCTGGAGTCAGTAAAAGAGTCAGCCTTCGCCACAGACGTGTCTCACTCCCTTGCTTTCTGTCGTGACAGCTTCGTTGACACGTATTGATAATATAAATTGTCTGCCGGATTGGTCTTCTGATTGATATTCTACACACATCCACCGCACTAAGATCATTGATACAACATCCTCATTTGGTATCACGCAATTTACTCTTTCAATGGCCCGCGGCAGAGGACCAGAATATCAGGAGGGTCGCTCGACCGAAAGACCAAGACGGTTGCGGTCATGTCTACCGCCTCCACAAGGGAGATGTTCCTCCCCTTCACGAGAAGCAAGCTGGACGCGTTCACAAGAAATGTATTCAACGTCCCCACGATACAGATATTCACCGCCCTCGTTCGAAGATCATACACCTCCCTTACAACAGAGATATCGATCGCCACAGCCACCGAGATCCAATATCGGAGACCCGATCTTAGAAGATGAAGCTTTCGATTGTGTCGACTGTCCAGCCCTATTTAAAGAAGATGAAGTAGGGACGATTCACATGGGGCCTCACGACCAAAAATGTACCACATGTGACCGGCCCAAGAAGTGGAAATACTGGAAATGCACGACATGTCGGTGGACTTGGCGAACGACAACTCTCAGATGTGGAACGGGGGCTGGGAAAGGAAGCCGGCTGCAGTGTGAGGGACTCAGCCCCGAAACCCCCTGGTTTCTGCTCTTTGCAGAGATGAGAGACGATCGCAATGCACTGGCTAAGCAAGTCGCAGAGTTGGAAAGGAAGGAGTACAAACCCAAGAATTTTAAGCGCGAGCTGGAGGATCTGGGTATTGTTGAGAAAGATGGAGATTTTGGCGAAGAGGAAAAGTTGCTGTTGGAGTGGAGGGCCTGACCGTTCTGCCGTCTAAGCATCAAACGAGATGGCATGGAAGTTCAGGAGGAGAGGAAGGTGAAGCAGATTGTTATAATGTAGAGACTAGATATTGTGCAAAAATGAAATTAGTATTGCACCGCAAATGCGGTCACAAGCCACTTCTGCGTTCGGCTGAATGCATTTGCTGTGACGCTTTTGAAGCTACATTTAAGACTGGGTTTCTCCGGTCTTATTACAAGTCTCTGCGATGAACTTGATATCCTTAAACACCTTGGTGAACGGCTCGAGATGACCCTTGAACACATATGACGCGTCAACTTCAGGCTCCTGAACACCTTCCGAAAGATCCACACTGACATCCTTCTCCCAGCCATTCGCATAACGAGTCTTCTCCCTCTTGACGCTCACTTTGACACTCCTACCATTCACCTCCTTAACCTTACCAGCAATTCGAAAGCAGTACCCGCTGCTCGGTTCGACAGTCTCCGGATCCTTGAGAACGTCGAGACTCTTAGGCCAGCCCATGGGAGGGGAAGACCCGGTACCAAGACTTCCACTGAAGCGATAGTGCCCGTATACCAGAGGCTTCAGATTCTCTGCCCACACCGTGTCCTGACCGGTAATTACAACGTTGACTTCAGTGCTCAGAGGGGATTCCCAGGGCCAACCACATGGCAGTATCTCAAAAGGATCGAAGTCCGAGCCTCCTACTCCGAAGTCTGTAAAGTTTCGCTCGACGCGTATGACCGTAGCAGTGAACGCTATATGCATCGGACTTAATCTCTTGGTGAAATGAGAATCGTCCAGCGCCTCTGCGAAGTCTTCAAGTTTGACAGTAGGTGCGTTTTGATGAGACGCGGTGATAACGGCCCGATCGGTCGCTTCTCAGAACTTGCAGCTACTACTCTGTTCGTTCATCTTCATCATGCCTTGATTCGGAACCATGGCTTCGTACTCGTATATACTCGGGCCACCTGGCTGGTCGTTGTCCAGAAGTCGTTCTAGGCTTGAGTCTTGTTCCAACCAGGATTTCGGTAGGTCGCGCAGACCAGTTCTAAGGGCAGGATTTTTCTTGAGTATATCGTTTCCACCCATCATACCCTCGAAGACGATGAAGTCTTCGATATAACCAAAGTCTTCATCGTGTACTTCTTGTATGGTTTTGCCTTTGTATTTGCCAAAGGTGAAACGGTAGGGACCACGGCTCTTGGGTGCTGCGCGCGTCTGGGTACGTCGCTTCTTGGAGGACTCGGCATTGGAGGATACGGCTGGTTGCCGCTGTCGCTTGACGCCGGAGCTCATCGTGGGTATCAAAAGAACTCGTTCGCTTGAATACGAGATCGCAGAAAGGCAAGAGGAGAATTTTGCAAAGTCGAGTTCGGACCTGGAGAGGAAATAGTCAAGCGCTACAGGCGAGGGGATCTCGATCGCAAAACACGGTATGCATAGGAAATTTTGCCGCAACTTAAGTAAGGGTACGCGGCTCGCAGTTACGCGCAACGCGTCGGCGATGTAGAGCACCTGCACGACGCGTTGCTAAACCACCAACAGTGATGCGCCCTGAAGAAAGCAAATGGGAGACGAGGTCGACAAGGAACTTTTGGTCAATACTTGGAGACACTACCGCGACACGATTTGACCTCGGGAGGGTCGCATGCGGAGCGTGAGACTAGTCGTCCTCGCATGCGCACGGCGGTGACAGCCGTTTGAAAGTGGGGGCTGACGTGGCCCGAGCGTGTGCTGCAAGGATCCCTGAACGTGTCACGGTGATTACCATTATACCTGCGTCACCTACCGTATCGCAGTCTTCCCTGGAACATGCAGGTCAAGCCTGTGAAGCAAACACATCAGACGAAGTGTACGAGTTCGACTTCGGAAAGCATTGCAGCCAGACCATCAAACAAGTCGCAGACACCAGCCCCAGCTATTTGCTCTGGTGTCTAATCAATGAAGACATGATGGAAACAAGGATCGACCTAGCCGATGGCTTAAGAGCTTTATCGAACGACTTTCTCAACTCGCAGTCTAGTTCCCTGCGCGAAGCCATGCGGAAGAGGGGGATTCATCCCCATGACATCGCGGACGCTCTCATGGTAGAGGGACAAGATGATCACGGGAACTTTTGAAATATCACAAAATGGGACAGGGTAATCGCACAGAACGTGGGCCCTGAGTTTGAGCAAGTCAACATAGGAGGCTCACTGCCGACCACGATAATGTTCACCGGCACCATCGTCAGAGTAGAGCAATGTTGGGCCGACGAAGGCGAAGACGGGCTGATGACTTTCACAATACTGCCATGTGGCTTTCCCCGGACCGAAACCATCAAATGCCACTTCATCTCTTCAGCTACTGCGCCCTTGTACGAGGAGTTGCCAGACATGCTTTATAAGATGTATAAAGTCGTCGGCAAGTTCTGCAGTCCCGGTCTCTACAGCAGCATCCACGACATCAAGAGCATCGAACTGGCGAGGAATCCGGAACCTGCTAGTCTGAAGACTGGCATCTGCTGGAAGTTTGAGGGCCGCGTCACCTATGCTTGCATCAAGCCTTTGTTCGAGTCCGTCTTAGTCACGTATCTTGAGGTTGATCGTGATGCACGATTTCCTGTGTACGCCAAATTGTTAGAAGGCGCGCCAATACCAACAGTCGGGAAACTTTATCGTGCCAAGGGTATCACAATCCCGGAAGACGTCAGTGAAAATGGTCTAGGAGAGACCAATTATTACGCTAAATGGCTTGAAGAGCTTCCGGAGCCTAATCCTAGCAAAGCAATCTAGCACAGACACTGATAGGTGAGCAAATTGAATTCTGTGGGAAAAGAGGAGATGACATCTTCAAAAGTTTTATTAAGGCCCTAGGGTGGGTTTCGTTGGCATCTTTCTGGAGGAGAAAAATATAATACCAACAAGGCACAACCTTGAAAGAAACACGAGCAAGTTTGTGCCACCCATGTCCGTACCGATCGAAAGCGTATCACGAGCATCTTGAACGCTGTTCAACCTTTTTACACCCCCTTCTCAACATCCGTACCGTAATGGATCCTTTCCATAGTTCCCTAGCGCATTATGTCCAGTCCCGCTCCCATGTTTCTTCATCAATAACGCCACCGTAGTAGACATTAATAAGAGGACTTTGGTACCATTCCCGTGGCTCCCGCCCTACATCATACAGGACGACTCTGTGCTTTTCATTGTCACATCTTTCGGGCCCAATGACCGAGTATTCCCATTGGATGTCCTCGGTAGAGTCCATACACGGACCGACATGCTGTTGCATTTCGTATCCTATGTCTTTGAGAACCGAAGTTTCTTCAATCGGAGTATCTACCAACGCGACATACACTACGACCTCATCATTGGACAATCGGGGAAAAGATGACGAAGGAGAGTTCGTATGATCGTGCCGAGCGAAATACATGGCCGCGGAGTTGGCAAAGTTGGCAAAGACCTCGCATGCTCGCTCGCAGTATTCGCAGTATGACCAGTACGTTTCACCATATTCGCATTCATCCCTTTCCCGCATGATAATGTCCACCTCTATTACGCTGACTTTCTTTGATCTGGCTTCTTCGCACACGCTACTAATTTTGCTGATAACCTCACTGTTATCGTCCAATCCATCGCATTTCAATCCATTAACGATGATACGGGGGACTCGCATTGCTTGCGGGAGGACTCGCTGTGCTTCAACGATAGATTTCATCAGAGGTGCAGCCTCCCCACAAATTGCTCGACACGTGAGATGGATGGGCGTTATGGATTTGTAGTTTGTGATGGCAACGTTTCGATTCACGAATCGAAAGCGACGTCGGCAATCCGCGGCATATTCGTAGATCATAAGACGCAGCTCCTTTGGTAGATCGAGGAAGCGGTCAAATGACGGGGGCTGACGTGGGTTTAGCGCAAGGTCTTCGTAGTACTGTCGTTCGTCTTCGTTCATGTCGTCGCTGCTGCAGGTATCGGAGTGTTCTTCCTCCTTAGAGTCGGACGACGTAGAAGCTTCCCCAGAGTCGGACATGGTAGAACCCTCTTCAGAGTCGGACAATGTAGAACCCTCCTCAGAGTTGTCCAATGTAGAACCCTCCTCGGAGTCGGACGATGTTGAAGGCGTATCGTTCATGGCTAGGGAATGACGCTGGGTTCTCCCAGGGTTTCTACTAGGTAATCTTATTGGTGCAGCAGTCTCAGTCTGAGACTGGATTGCATCAGTCTTAGAGCGGATTGCATTAGTCTCAGAGCAGATTGTATTAGTCTTAGAGCGGATTGCATTAGTCTTAGAGCGGATTACAGCAGTCTTAGAGCGGATTGCAGCAGTCTTAGAACGGATTGTAGTAATCCTAGAACTAATAACAGCAGTCTTAGAACAGATTGCATTATCCTAAGTAAGGGATATTTTAGCCTTAGAAAGGGATACATCTGTCTAAGAAAGAGATGCAGCAGACTAAGAAAAAGATGCATTAGTCTAAGAAAGGGATGCAGCAGTCTTAGAACTAATTGCAGTGTTCTTAGAACTAATTGCAGCGTACTTAGAGATTTTTGCAGCAGTCCTAGAACGGATGTCGTTGTTGGAGATCGAGTTCCAGTTAGCAGTCGAGTTGTTGGCAGTCGAGTCGTCAGCAGTCGAGTCGTCGGGAATCGAGTTGTCGGACATCGAGTCGTCAGTAGAATCCTCACTCATGGTTGCGGGATGGCGGTTAGGTGTCTCAGGAGGAGCGGTCAAGTCTCCTGATGGAACCCAGGCAACTGTCGCGAGCTAAGGTCATTACATAATCAGAGCTACTCGGGTCTTATTGGTGCCAACCTGCACGAGCCACATTTCTGGACCCTACAATTTGAGGAAATCCTTAATCTTGGCTCATCAGCGCGCCATGAGGGCCTGAGACCATTGACTGAGCGGTTGTTATACCTATGTATGCTCTCTTGGCGCCCATTCGGTCGTAGTCTGTATAATGATAGTAGACATCATGACGACTCAATCAAACACCTTGATAACAGGCATGAAGTTATCAGATCTGGCCTACTGTTTACATTTAAGACGAATTAATCTAGAGCCATCTTGGACTCATGGTGAATAGGAATCTGGGGATGCCGCACGTGTTTCAGCCGCCAAAGCCAAATGCGTCTGGGACAAACTGTAGTTGTTCAACAGCAATGTATGTTCCATCAACAACTATCGCAGGCAATGTAATGTTGCTGGGTATGATAATATAACGGGATCTCAGTCGCTACGGATAGCCAGCAACTTCAGATCCATCCATTATAGCGTATGGTTGTTTAGACAACTCTTGTACTTGAGTCATCAGGGAAGTCACTGAAGTTTCCTTTCCGTAAACATGAATATGAGACCTTGATTGAAAATGGTAATGAATATGTAACTGATTCTAGCCAGAGGGCTAGCCAGACTCGGTACATCATATTATTGCTCGCAAGCGATTCACCAAAACCCACTGCCAAAGACCACAACTTCCTACCCGATTGGTTCCCTTATGGGCAAATGATCATGAAACGTAAGGATGCCTGCCTCTTCTTTCGTACTTCAACCCTGTCATGAACGCTATCCGTAGCTCGTAAACCATTGTCCATACAGCGTTTCCAAGCTGCAACAGCCGCACACCTTGAGAAGCTGGGTCTCTCATGCACAGCAGAGGTTATATCCCGAACTTCGTCCTTATCATTATCGTCTAGCCGTGCGACTGCCAGAAGAGTGTTATGCTCGCGACTGCTCTACGAGGCATGAGGCTTGCCAGCTGAGTCGGCCTTGGCACGGAGGTCGGCAGCGGTGGAGCCTGTCGCGGAGAAGTAGCGCGAGAAGACGGGCTGAAGGAATGAGCGGAAGACGATCTGGGCACCACTAGGGAGTGTAAGCTTGTATTAATGTGCGCGACGGGGCTGCTACATACGCAGTCTGGGGAAGAGACATCCAGAGGATAAGGACAAACTTGAAGGTGTAGTAGAAGGCTGCGGACGTCAGTTGCGGATCATGCAGACGATATGGGTGTACTTACGGAACCAGTAGACGGCGTTCACAGCGCTCTCGAAGACGGTCAAGAAGGCAAAGGTAACCCAGTACTGCGGCATCGCATTAGCCCCATCCCAGATTTGTTGTGGACATAATTTGGCCAGCTGTCCTGCCAGCGATGAGAAAGTGGGGTAAACATACAGTCAACCACTGGGTGTCATCGACCTTGCTGGCGCTGAAGAGAGCCTCGAGCGAGTAGTAACCGGGAATGATGAAACCAGCAATGTTGACGAGGAACTCTCCGGCAATGTTGAAGAAGATCAGGAAGAAGTAGAGACCGGCGAGACCAAGGATCATGTAGACCTTGGGGACCGACGTCTGCTTCTCAAAGTTGTTGAGTGCGGGGTACTTGGACAGCTGGAACACGACATCGTCAGTGAACGTAGCCTCATATCAAAACCGTTGCTTTTCCTGTCGGAATCGTCGGGACAAGGCGTATTTTGACAATTGTGCCTTGTGCAGAAGCGAGAGCGCTTACCTCCTTGTCGAGCTGCGACAGCTGGGCCTGGGCTCTATCCTGGACAGACATGTTGAGGGCTGTTGGGAGGTTGGGTGTGATGGGTTGCAAAAGGGTGGGATGCAACGGGTTGTGGTTGAAGAAGCAGAAGGGCTGCAATGTGTTCAGTAGGTAGAGAGGAGCAGGAACGTGGAGCCTGGAGATTGTGGGATGGAGGAAGTGGGCTCGTCATCGCTAAATACGTCACCGCCTTTCACGAGCCAGCCAGAACGCAGCAATGGCATGCCGATGAGACAAGATCGCGTGCATCGGTCCAGCCGTTCGACGAAGCCATATCCCGGGAGTTGGTAATGTCGCATTCACCTGTCTCTTTTTCCTTTACATTGGCAATTAGAGAGTAGTGCGATTGCACGGGCATTATGACGACTTGCACGTGACCGTTGAGGTCCAAGCGCGCCGGCCAGTCTCCGTTGCTGCAGGCGTGACCGAGTTCAGACGGAAGCGTAAACATCCAATTCCTATCCCACAACAAACCCGCTCGAGGGCGACCGACGACGCCTACGACCCTTGCTGGAGCCGGATATTCTTCTGCGGAGCATTCTACCACGTTGGTGACATCCTATCTGCCGGAACAACGTGTTGAGCTAGTCCCTGGCCCAAACAAACAAACCCGCCAGCCCCGAAAACAGCTGAGACTCGAGCTACACGCGAGCAGCGCCATCAGCCTACTCACGACACCTTGGTCTTCTTGGGATTACCGTCGCGTACTTTAGACACTCTGCCGACTGTGTTGCCGCCTCCTCAGCGCCGTTGCCATCGCATTGTTTTGGTGTAAACATACGGAAAATCTGCCAGCCGGCGTCCGCAACATGACCGATATCCGCCGGTCACGATCGAATACGTCAATGTCTACGAGAAGCAATCGTCCTCTTTCACGCGCGTCGACGACGAGCGTGCATTCGTTCGAGCAATTCCAACAACCGCAGCAACCGCGGCCCAACCAATTTCCCCAGCAGCCGCAGTATCATGCTCCATTCACTACCAGTGAAGCGTTACAGCCTGCATTACTCCAAGCCGCGCAACAGGTCAGCGCGCAGGACCAGCTTATCAACATGAGTCTGGAGAGTGTTCAGCAGTATCTTGGTTACCCAGCCGACCCAACCGCGTCTCACCCTCAACCGAACGGTCAGCCCGCACAACCCGATCACCATGCCTACCAGAACTCCCTCTCTCAGCATTCACAACATTCGCAGCAACACAGTTTCATGGCGCCGCCGATGGATACGGAGGATAAGAAAAAAA